GTGCACGTGCACGCGATCGGAAGGGGGAGCGGGGTGGGCAGCAGTCGGGGAAAAAGAGGGGGTGGGATCAGAGTTGGGGGGTGAGTCAGGGTAGAGACAGTGCGATCGGGTTGGGAATGTCGGGATCGGAGTGGCGGGATCGGAGGTGACGTGGCGGGGATAGAGGGGATCGGGACGATGCGTGGGGGGAGCAGAGCAGGACGGGTAGGTGCGTCGGAAGGGGGCGATTGAAGGGAAAGAGGGTATGGAAGGGGGGACGAGGGATAAAAGCGGGCGGGTCGAATCGGAGTTTAGAGGCGGAAGCGGGGGGAAGGGGAGGAGTGGAATCAGAGAGCAATGAGTGGGGAATTAATCGTGGGTGGGGGCAAGGGGGGAAGTGGAATTGGGAGGGAGGGCGGAAGAGGTGGGATTCCGACACCCAGGCGGAACGTGTCAGGACGAGTCATGTAGATCGGGCGCAGGGGGGAGGAGACTGAGATGGGGGGGGGGCGTGCGCACGGTGACGCGCAATCGGTGTTGAGCAAGGGGAAAGGGGGGGAAGGAGATTGTAGGCGCACGGGGCCGCGCGGACACGTGCGCATGAGGGGAGGTGGAGATCGACTGTCCACGTGGAAATGATCCTTCCACAGGTCCACCTACCGAAACCTTGTTACCACTTCTCCTTCCTCCGACTGGTAAGGTTCGATGAACCTCTCGCCGCCGGCTGCGACCCGCCGAAGCCCAATGCCAACACTTCACCAGCCATTCAATCTGTAGGAGCGACGGGCTAAGGACGAGCCAGGGTACACGTGGCAGCAGGTCAGCGTCGGCGGCCCGTGGGATGACGGCAGCGTCTGGAGTAGCGTCGTCGTGGAGGTTGCCGAGGAGAAAGGCGCCGGCTTGGTTGAAGACCGTACCCGGTCGAATTGACGGACCAGGTGCAGCTGCAAGAACGAGCTTGGAGATAGCTATCTGTGTAGCGGGATAGCCGGAGAGGGAGGGAGGGAGGGGGATAGCCAGAGAGGGAGGGAGGGAGGGAGCAGAGGTTCGAAACCCGCTCCAATACCAATGTGACGCATGTGCGGAGGGCAGGTGCGAAGATGTGTGTGTGTGTGAGAGAGAGAGAGAGAGAGAGAGAGAGAGAGAGAGAGAGAGAGAGAGAGAGAGAGAGAGGAGATGGACACACACGAGAAGCAGCAACTGAGTGAAGGTCCAGTCCGAACAACTGAATGACCACTGACCGTCGAGCCTGGGCCTAGGCCGAAGTGATATACCGGCCTAGGTCCATGTATGGGAACAACCTGGTACCGGACCAGGGTCAGGCCGACGGCCTGAAACTGGTCCGGTCTCACTGCCGGGCCATAGGGGTACCTTTACAGGTATCCTACCAGCAGCAACCTTTGGGGCTCGACTAGAAACCAACCTACTTGCTCCTTAACTTCAACTCTCCGGTAGAAAAAGGTCAAGGCTTCTTCAGACTCAACAACTCACTCCTATCCACAGAACGCATGACCGAGGCAGTCAAATGGAACTGGTGGTTCATACAGCAAGACAAGAAGAAACGCCAGGACATGCAGAAATGGACCTAGCTCAGACGGTCTCAGCAGAGTCTAGAAGCATAGCAGCAGAACGCAAACACAGGAAGGAAGAACTACAAATCACACTCGACATCGCAGAAACCAACCCAGCATCCAATCCCTCCAACTCCTACCACAACCTACTCCGGTCTACCAAGGACGAACTAAACGAATGGAGAAGATGGGAACTCAGAGGCCTACAGATACACGCCCGAATGAAGGACTACATCCTGAATGAATCCATGTCCAAGTTCTTTGTTTCCAAGATCAAGGCTAACGCAAGGAACAACACAATCGAGGGGCTGAAGGACCCAGCAGACCAGGGCACGACAAAGTCAGCCGACACAGACATGGTAAGAATAGCGAGGTCCTTCTACGCCGACCTCTACGAGTCTAACCCCCCCCCCCCCCTCCAACAACAAATATCAACGCTAGCCAGCACATGATGACCAACCTTGAGAGAACGATCACCCATGAACAAACGGAGGAATTGGATAAAGCAATCACCATAGGCGAAGTGCACACAGCCTTGCCCATATGGGTAACGACAAAGCACTCGGAATTGATGGCCTGTCCAAAGAATTTTGGATCCAGTTCTGGCCAACAATGGGCAACGACCTCTTTTACCTCATCAATGACAGCAAAGAAAAAAAAGGTAGAGTTCAGTTCCTAAGCACCAGTGTAGTGTCGCTAATATACGAAAAGGGCGACAAGGAGGACCTCAAGAACTACAGACCGATCTCACTTCTCACAAGGTCGTACAAAATCCTAGCAAAGGCATTAGCCAACAAAATCATAAAACTAACAGACAACTGCTTTCACAACGACCAAGTAGGATTCATCCCGGGTTGATACATTCTGGATAATGTGATGGCTCTAAACGAGGCTGCAAAGAAGATCACAGAAAATGAATGCAAGCAGCTATCTTATTCTTCGACTTTGAAAAGGCATACAATCAAGTCAACTGGGACTTCCTACACAACTGCATGGAGAAGATGGGAGTTGGCCCAAAGTTCAGAGAGTGGGATAGAGTACTCTACGGGGATGCCACGGGTAGGGTGCAAATAAACAGAATACCGTCCGATACCTACCCGATATCGAGATCGGTCTGACAAGGCAACCCCCTTGCACCCCCAATATTCCTATTTATAATGGAAGCCATAGCATCGTTCCTGCGCAAGGACCCATCGATAGACCACCTGACCGATCAAAACCACAACCCCCTCCACGACTTTGCTCTCCCCACAACACAGATGTTCGCAAACGATCTCACGGTCCTCATCCGCGCTAACAACTCCTCCTTCCAGGCCCTGGTGTGCGCCATGGAAGCCTTCAGCGCGCTTCAGAAATGAAGGTTAACTGGTTGAAAACGGAAGGGTGGTGGCTCGCAAAGGGCACCCCCCCCCCAACCCCCAGACCCATCCACCCCAATGTCTTGGACTACAGGTGACCAAGCACTCCGATATCTAGGCATTATGGTAAACAGGGATGGCATCTGGCAAGGAATGGGGGAGACTCTACTCGCCAGAGCAATAACCCGGCTAGCCACCTGTAACAAAGTCGAGGCCTCCCTTCTAGTGAGACCCCTGATCATCAACACAACAATATTCTCCACTTTGTGGTATATGGCCTCCATATGGTGCCCCCCCGACGACGACCTGAAGAAGCTGAAGGCTAGAACCAGGTGCTCTCTGTGGATTGGCGACCCCAACAGAACCTCCTGCATAAACAAGGTAGCTTGGCAAACTGTCATCAGAAAACCACAAGGAGAAGGGCTAGGTATAATCGACCCTAAACAGGAAGCGCTCGCCCTCCAAATGAAATGGATAGTCAAAATCCTAACCAAACAAGCCCTCCCGTGGACCAAGATGGCGTTAGAAAGCATAAGGAGTTTGGCACCAGTAGCGACCCCACCGAACATGAGTGGCCTGTTCTGGATCATGGCAAAGGAATGGACAATCAAATCTGGGAGATCGGTAAGGAAATCTAACCCAGCGACCCCCATTCAGCCCCCCACAACACCCACCCCTTACTGGTCACCGATCCTGAAGGTCTGGCGTCGTCTGATACCGGAAAAGAAAGAACCCCCAAGCAACAAAGAGGAGGTCCTACGATAGCCCATGTTCTGCAACCCCTGGATCAAGGACAGAGGGCAAGCCGTGGACCCTCCGGCCCAAAGACCGGAGATGGCTGTCGTGGGTGGAGAGAAAAGTATGGCAGGTCAAACGCCTGTGGGCCGAGGACCGACAAGAATGACACACCGCACAGGACCTTCGCACTCCCTTAAAAGGCTGCCACCTACTGACCACCAACCTGGCAGAAATCCTCCAAAGCATCCCCCCCCCCATGGACGACCCTCCTAAAAGAGACACATACATGGAAACCAGGAGACTGGGGACTACTCACCACACAGAATCCACCAACAAGAGTCTATCGCTTCGTGTCAACTAACTACCAGGCAAATTTTGTATCCTA